CCATGATTCCAAGTAGCTGAAAGAGGAGATCTGGACAGCACTGGGGGAGCTGCAGGCCAGGCTGCTGTTGCAAACCAACAGCATATTCACCAGCATTTCTGTGACAACATGCATGAGGCCCAACAGCACCAAAACCTACACACCTTCTGAGTGTGATCATGGCCACTTCAATTCTGCCTTTCAAATCTCACAGAAATTTCTCTTGTGGCCAATTCTAACACAGACCATCCTGCAAAGGGAATTCTAGGAAACATAGTTCCAAACCTAGCTAAAGTGACATACTACAAAGCCACCACACCTTGGTGAGCTGCCCTCATGTTCCATTGTCCAGACTCCAAAAACTGGTAAAAATAGATGCTCTGATAACCTCTTTCTTCATTTCAACTTTAGCTTCTTTATTATTTGAGAAAAAGTGTGATTAGCATCTTTATTACCTAAGTAAGCACCTTTATTATTTATTAGTACATAATCAAGTACCTTTACAGCAAAAAGCATTCTGCATATATCAATTATGTTTATCCTTACAGAAATTTCTAGCTCTCAGTATATGTGACATACATTCAATGAATCAAAGATAATAAGCTTACTTTTAATAAAGAATGAGTTTGAGTTTTACACTGCGGAAGACTGTGAGAAAGACAAAAAGACAAGCTACAGAGTGGGAGAAAGTATTTGCCAACTACATATCTGACGACATTACCTAGAATAGATAAAGAACTTCAAAACTCAACATTAAAAAAAGATCCATTTAGGAAATGAACAAAAATCACAAAGGCACGTTTACTGAAGACAATATACAGAGGGCAAACAGGCATATGAAAAGATGTTTAATAACATCAGCGATTAGGGAAATGTAAATTAAAACCACAATGAGATGTCACTAGACACTTATCAGATTGGTTACAACAAAAAATAGCAACAATATGAAGTGCAAGCAAGGATGCAGAGAAACTGGATTACTCACACACTGCTGGTAGGAATGTCTGGGAAACAGTTTGGCAGCTTCATAAAAAACTAAACATGCAACCACCATATGACCCAGCAATTGCACTCCTGGGCATTGATCCCAGAGACATAAAAATGTATGTTCGTACAAAAGTCTGTAAATGAATTTTTATAGCAGCTTTATTTATAAGAGCTAAAAACTGGAAACAACCCAGATGTCCTCAGTAGGGGAATGGTTGAAACAAACTGTGGTATATCCATACAATGGAATATTACTCAGCAACAGAAAGGAAAAAGCTACTGATACACATGACAACATGAATGAAGCTCCAGAGACAATGCTGGGTGGGAAAAAAGCCAATGTCAGCAGGTTAAATGTTGTATGATTCCGCTTATATAACATTACTGAAATGACAAGATTATAGAGATAGAGGCTAGATTAGTGGTTGTTATGGATGAGGGTAGGGGGATTATGGACTAGGTGGCTGTTACGGATTAGGTGTGCACAGCTGTGATGGGGAAGCAGGAGGGATCCTTGCAACGGAACTGTTCTGTATCTTGACTGCAGTGGTGGTCTCAGAAACCTACTCATGATGAAACCGCACAGAACTAAATATACACTTACTGAAATAAATAAATTTTTAAAGTACATGTACAACTGCTGAAATCTGAATAAAAGTTGTAGATTGTACCATTGTCAATTTTCTGGTTGTAATAATGTACTATAGTTATGCAAGACGTTAGTATTGGGGGAAACAGATAAAAGATAAAAGAGATTTCTATATTATTACTTACAACTGCACAAGAATATTCAATTACATCAATATAAAGAGTTTTTTAAATGGGTTTGAAATTTCAAAGATTTTTGCTCAAACAAGCATAATTTAAAATACAATTAAAATGGTTTGCACATATTTAAAGGACCACCTGAATTGTGTTTTCACTATCGAAAATAAAAATTGGCCAAGTGCAGTGGCTCATGCCTATAGTACCAGCATTTCGGGAGGCCAAGGTGAGAGGATCATTTGAGGCCAGGAGTTCAAGACCAGCCTGGG